GAGTAACATTGCCTTCCGCATCCAGCTTCAATCTGAAAATCCACTTAACATCCACAACATTCTTCCTTTCTGGTCTTGTGACTAATTCCCAAGTTCTGTTTTTCTCGATCATATGGATCTCTTCTTCCATTGCCTTGATCCATTCTTGATGTTTTACAGCCTCTTCAAAAGAGCTTTGGCTGTAACAAACTCAGCTGAATCAAATCTTTGGCATAGAAGATTCGGTCATTTGGGTTCTACATATCTCCAAGTATTGCAGAATCAGAAACTTGTTTCTGGCTTGCCTAATTTTAAGGTGACTAAAGAAGTTTGTGAGGGTTGTTTGGTTGGAAAACAACACCGGGAACCTTTTCCGAAGGAAGCACAACATAGAGCGAGCAAGAAACTTGAGTTAATCCATTCTGATGTATGTGGGCCGATGGAGACAGATTCGTTGGACGGCAGCCGGTATTTTCTGACCTTTATCGACGACTTTACTCATATGTGTTGGGTTTATTTTCTCAAGAGCAAGTCTGACGTGTTTTTAAGATTTAAGAAATTTAAAGCACTGGTGGAAAATCAAGCAGAGACTAAGATCAAGGTCTTGAGAAGTGATCGTGGGGGAGAATATTCATCTAAAGAGTTTGAATTATTTCTGGAACAAAATGGTATTGAGAAGCAGTTTTCTGTTTCGTATTCTCCACAGCAAAACGGTGTTGCAGAGAGACGAAACAGAACAATTATGGAGATGGCTAGATCGATGTTAAAAAGCCAAGAACTGCCTCTCAAGTTCTGGGCTGAAGCTGTATATACAGCTGTGTATATACAGAACCGAATGCCGACACGAACGCTTAAAGATAAGACCCCGATTGAAGCTTGGTGTGGGTACAAACCATCTATTGCTCACTTCAGAACCTTTGGATGCATCTGTAATATACATGTTCCCGATCAGAAGCGATGTAAGTTGGATGACAAATCTAGAAAGGGGATATTTGTTGGCTACTCAAGCAGCAGTAAAGGTTTTAGAGTTTATATGCTGGACAAAAATTCCATCGAAGTGTCACGAGATGTCATCTTCCAAGAAGACAAAATCTGGAATTGGAGCCAAGAAACGGAGATACAAAAACATGTCATTTCGCCTTATATCTCTGTCTCTCAGCAACTCACAAGACGCCAGCAAGATAATACAGAAAATTCTGAAACAAATCCAGCATATCAAGATGAAGGCAACTCCAGCGAGCCAAGGAGACCCAGATTTCGATCAATGGAAAATCTGTTGCAAGACACACCAAGGGTTGAACTAGAAGAAACTGTAGATGTTGTAGAAGCATGTTATCTAACACATGAAGAACCTGGCAGCCTTGAAGAGGCTGTAAAACATCAAGAATGGATCAAGGCAATGGAAGAAGAGATCCATATGATCGAGAAAAACAGAACTTGGGAATTAGTCACAAGACCAGAAAGGAAGAATGTTGTGGATGTTAAGTGGATTTTCAGATTGAAGCTGGATGCGGAAGGCAATGTTACTCGACACAAAGCGAGGTTAGTGGCGAAAGGATTTACACAACAATATGGAGTCGACTATTTTGAGACGTTTGCGCCTGTTTCTCGACATGAAACCATTAGAATGTTGCTGGCTGTAGCTGCTCAAAAGGGCTGGAAACTTTTCCAACTCGACGTAAAATCGGCGTTCCTTAATGGAGAGCTAGAAGAAGAGATTTTTGTTGAGCAACCACCTGGTTTTATTTATGAAGGAGTAGAAGATAAAGTGCTGAAACTCAAGAAGGCTCTTTACGGATTAAAACAAGCTCCAAGAGCTTGGTATGGACGTATAGATACATTTTTTCTGGCTGAAGGTTTCGAAAGGAGCAAAAATGAAGCGACGATTTATACACAATGCCAAGGTACTGAAATTTTGGTTGTGTGTTTGTATGTTGATGATCTTATAGTTACAGGAAGTAACTTACAGCTGATGAACAAGTTCAAAGCAAGAATGATGGCAGAATTTGAGATGTCTGATCTTGGAGAATTGAGTTTCTTCCTTGGGATGCAGATTATTCAAAGTGAGAATGGGATTTTCTTAAATCAGAGGAGTTATGCTCAGAAATTAATCAAGAAGTTCGGTATGGAAAACTGTAAGAGTATCGGTACGCCGTTGGCGCCATTTGGGAAGAATACAGAAGATGCAGAATTTATGCAGAATCCAAGTCTGTATCGAGGATTGATAGGAGGGTTGTTGTATTTGACTTCTACAAGACCGGACATTATGTTTGCAGCATCTTACCTATCTCGATACATGAAGTAACCGACAGAGAAACAATTCAGAGATGCCAAGAGAGTGCTGCAATATATTCAAGGCACAATCGAATTGGGAATTCGGTACGAAGAAGTTTCTGAACCTGAATTAATTGGTTTTTCAGATAGTGATTGGGCAGGTTCGAGGGAAGATAGCAAAAGCACCACGGGTTACTGCTTTACCATTGGAAGCGGCATTTTCTCATGGCAATCCGCCAAACAAGGGACTGTTGCACAGTCTACAGCGGAGGCAGAATACATGGCGGTTTGCGCAGCAACAAATCAAGCAATTTGGCTGCAGAGAATGTTGACAGATTTCGGGTTTGAAGTTCACAAAGGGATTCCTATCCTTTGTGATAACAAATCGGCAATTGCGATAGGGAAGAATCCAGTGCAGCATCGGAGAACAAAACATATTCAGATCAAGTTTCATTTTGTTCGGGAAGCTGAGAAGAATGGAGACATTAAGCTGAAACATTGTCCGGGAGAAGATCAAGTCGCCGACATATTTACGAAGCCACTCGGAACTCAAAGATTTGAAGAGCTACGTAAGAGACTTGGTTTGAAGCTGAATTGGGACAAGAGGGAGTGTTGAAATCTGTCCAATTCAACATCAAACCTGACACAAAAGAGGTAAAAGTCTGCAGCTAGAAGATTCATCCTTTTAACCAGTAAAAGTGTTGGTTTAGTCTTTTGTCTGATAGTCTTTGTTTTGGAATATTTAGAGCCTTGTTATCTATGTTTTTAGCTGTGCTAAGTTACGTTTTTGGAGTATGTTTTTGGGGCTCTAAATCTGTATTTGGAAAGCAAATATGTTTGCTTCTATTTTAACTCTTTATGTATCCAGAAAATTCTGTAATATGAGTGTGCAATTTTCAGACTATTTTTCTCATCTTCTTCGTTCTTCTTTCTCTCTACATTTCCTGAAAACACTAAAGCCATTGGTTTTTTCTTCTAAGCTTAGTGAATTTTTTCCTGCACAATGCACAATTGATTTTTCTGGTTTAGAATGAAGCTGTTTTCTCAATTTATAACAGCTTCTAACACTTTGTTCTCTTGATTCGGACGAGTGTAGACTTGACTCGCCTGAGATATGTTCTAGACTTGGCTGTTGTCATCAAGACCTTTGAGTTGGCTCGACGGGATTAAACTTGGTTTGGTCTGAACCAATATTTTTTTTTTGATTATCTGGAAATTTACCGGGCATTTGGCCCAACTACATCTCATAGAGAACCGGAAAAGTCCAGGTGAAACCTCTTTCCACACTTGAATTTGAACTCAAGATAAGAACATGTTTTGCATGTTCTCTTACCATTAGACCATCCAAGCTGGACTTGGTCTGAACCAATTATTTGTACAAAACTGTTCAATGTTCCGTTACTCGCTTTTCTACTCATTCATGTCCCGGGACTTGTGTTGTGCTCTCGTGAATTTGTATTTAATTGTAAAATCCAACCACGTATGGTTTTGATGTCTATGGCGGGTGTGTAAAATGCATATAATCTTGGTCAAAACTCTAGATAAATACCATCTCAAACTTTTATTGAATCTCATATATTTTATAAAATTCGATTAATAAAAAATATAAAATTATAAAATACAAATTATTTAAAAATAGTTAAAAATATTAATTTTTGTAACAAAAATTATTTAATGATAATAAATAAATTCAGTGACATTTTTATGTAATAATAATAATATTTTAAAAAGAATATATAAATTATTAAAAAAATTTATAGATTAAATTCAAAATTAAATTTGAATTAATAATAAGTTAATGATAAAAATAAATTTTGTAACGTAATTAATTTTTAATTATAGATATTTATGTCTTTAATAACAACAATGTTGTATAATAATTAATATTATTTTTAAAAGAAATAGATGTAGAAGCTGAAAGGATATTTTACCAAATTTCTGTTTATTTAGTTTTTTTAATAATTATGTATAATTAAGAGAAATAATTATTTCTTATATCAGGCCCAAAATTTATGGGACTATGTTATAGTACACCACTTATTAAAAAGACGGTCCTACAAATACCCTCAAATATATATATGGTGAAAACGAGTTATCAATACATATAGTAGGTTAATTAATATAACTATATAGAGAGAGAACAACGTAAACCTAAAGAGAAGGTAAGTGCAGCCACTAATTGGAAATCTAGTCACACTTGGTTACATACATTGTACCTTGTAAGAGAATCCAATTAATATTGACAATTTTGGTTTTTTCTTCTCTTGATTTAGTTGTTTATGACAAGCAAACAAATTAAAAAGGAAAAATATTTATAAAAAAAAAATCCGCAAGGAAATATTCTCAAGTCCCTATTTTTCTTACCTTTTTTTCTCCATAGCATTAAAATAGTTGACACAATTGTGCTTTTTAGGTGGGATTCATTTGCTATTTTATTATATAATATAAAATATAAATGATATGTTAGGTGAATAAATTTATATTTGTTTGTTTTAAATGTAATCAGCTAAAATAATGATACGTTAGGTGTGATTAATTGATCATGTGACATATAAAAGGAAATAGGTTTAGAGATTTAGTATAAATATGGTGTATTGTTCAGATTTTTTTTCATTAAAAATAGTTCTAAACATTTGTTGTTCCTAATCCTCTTTTTATATTTCTTTATAAAAAAATATCCAAATTCATTCACATCATATAGTCTCGGTGTATTCTGTATGCTTCTGATCTCTCTCTCTCTCTCTCTCTTTTTCTTATCATCTAAAAGCAAACTATGCTTCCATGGCTTTCACTTCTTCTTCTCTTTCTTCCTCTCCTCCTTATCATCGCCGTGAAACGGAGACAGGGACAGCTACAACCGCCCGGACCACCACAGCTTCCGGTGATCGGAAACTTACACCACATCGGAAAGTTGCCGCATCAAACTCTCTGGAAACTGTCGCAGAAGTACGGTCCCGTGATGTTCCTGCAGCTTGGAAGAGTCCCCACTGTCATAGTTTCTTCCCCTGAAACGGCGAAACAAGTCTTGAAAGTTCATGACATCCATTGTTGTAGCCGACCTCTCTCGGAAGGTGCCTATCATAATTTTCCCATCTATCGGAACAATATTCATTTCGATTGAAAGGAAGGGTTTGAGATTTGTAAAATGGGTATCTTGAAAATTTTCTTCTGCATAGTAAAGTTTTGTCCTTTTGACAGGTACGAGGAAACTGTCCTACGATCATCTCGACGTTGCTTTCTCTCCCTTTGATGATTACTGGAAAGAGGTGCGAAAGATTTGCGTTCAGGAACTCTTCTCGACCCAACGAGTCCACTCGTTTCAACCCATCAGAGACGAGGTAATCCAGAAGCTAATTGATTCCATTTCCGAGTCAGCCTCTACGAATTCTCTGGTCAATCTGAGCCAGAAGCTAATGTCTTTAACCGCAAGCTTGACATGCAAGGCATCGTTCGGGATGAGTTTCCAAGGAAGTAAGATTGACAATGACAGGTTTCAGATGTTGGTCCATGAGGCATTGCAGATGTTGGGAAGCTACTCTGCTTCAGATTTCTTCCCGCTGGTAGGTTGGATCTTCGATTGGTTCACGGGTTTACATAGACGAAGAGAGAAAATCGTGGGTGATCTCGACGCATTTTATGAAGAAATGATAGATCTGCATCTTCAAGAAAACAGACAAGGGGATGAAGATTTCGTCGATGTGCTTCTGAAGTTGGAGAGGGAACAAGCTGCTTTAGGGAATGCCCAGATCACAAGAAACCATAGCAAAGCCATCTTAATGGTAAGTCCGATTCAAATCAAAGTTCAATTTGATTCTGACAAGTAAAGTGCTAAACTTTGACAAAATCTGTCTGCTTCAGGACATTCTTCTGGCAGGAATTGATACTTCTGCAATAAGCATGACGTGGGCAATGACCGAACTGGTGAGAAACCCTCGAGTGATGAAGAAAGTTCAAGCCGAAATCAGAAACCAAATCGGTGAAAATGCAAGAGTGAGGTTTGAAAACGTCAATGAACTCAAATACTTGAAGATGGTGATCAAAGAAACATGGAGGCTCCATCCCCCATCTCCACTTCTGATCCCAAGAGAAGTAATGTCAGAGTTTCAAATCAACGGTTACACCATTTACCCCAAGACACGTCTCCAGGTGAACCTATGGGGAATGGGTCGTGATCCAAATGTCTGGAAAGATCCAGAAGAGTTTCTCCCCGAAAGGTTCATGGATGGTTCCATCGATGCAAAGGGACAAAGCTTTGAGCTGTTGCCTTTCGGCAGTGGGCGGAGAATATGTCCAGGGATCCTTATGGGGAGTGTAATGGTGGAGACTGCACTTGCAAATCTTCTGTACCATTTCGACTGGAAACTACCAGATGGGATGGCGGTACAAGACATCGACATAGAAGAAGCTCCTGGACTCACCGTTTACAAGAGAACACCGCTTGAACTTGTTCCTGTTAGATTTTGATCTACAATAAGGTGTTCAGAAGAAGAAAAATAAGTGGATTAAGGTTGCAATGAACAATAAAATATCAGTTCTAATTTATCCTAACTCCTAAGTCGGTTTGGACAACCATTCTACCTTCTTCCTCTTGCTTCTGTTCCTTACACTTCTCTCCTTAATCTCTGGACAAAAAAAGGGTTTAAAAACTCGAAATATAACCTTCCTCCAATCCCTCGAAGCTTCGGATCATCAGAAATTTGCAACAGATTGAGGAATTTCCTCATAGATGCCTTTACGAGCTCCCCATGATTGTGTAAAGACAACGAATCATGGAGAAAATATACGAATCCGCTTTGAAACAATCTCCGGTGGATTTGAGCGAAACCCTTTTCTCCTTTGTTGGTACAAATATATTACTCATACTGATCTCGTGGCAATAAAGTTTTAAACTCTTTTTCATATCTGTGTTGATCACGATAAGACTCCCGTGGTTTGTCCTTCAGATTGGTCGACGGCTTAATCGTGAAACCCAAAGACCCGAAATCGAAGAAGACTGATGAACAGAGAAGAACCCTAATCCCCAAATCTCTCTCTCTCGCCCTTTTTTTTCCTAGCTTTTTGGTTTCTTTCTACTTCTACAAGTTACAAACCTTTAGTAAAAGACAAATATACCCTTCATGAAAGCAATGGGCATCTTTGATCGATGCATGAACACTAGTCCCTAATAATAATTAGGGGTAATCGGTAAACTATGACAAATATATTATTTAGAAATCTATATATTTTTTTTATTTGTAAACTATATTTTTTTAAATATTTTTGACAAAAATACATTTACTTTATTGTATAATTTTAATATTGTCATTTAGCACCCGAAAAATATGCAGCATGAAAAACATATTTTTTTGGAAACTGTGTTATCCGCGAGAACTGTTTTTTATTTGGAACAACTGTTTTTCATCCGGGAGAACCCGTTTTTATACGGGAGAACTGTTTTTCGTCCGCAAGAATCTGTTTTTTGTCTGAGAGAGCTGTTTTTTGTCTAAGAGAGTCTGTTTTTTGTCCGGGAGAGCTGTTTTCATCCAGGAGAGTCTGTTTTTGTCCGGGAGAACTGTTTTTCTTCCGGAAGAGTCTGTTTTTTTTCGGGAGAACTGTTTTTTGTTCGGATGAAAAAAATAGTTTTTCCGAATAAAAAATAGTTCTCCCGAATGAAAACATATTCTTCCGAAAGTTCTCCCAGATGAAAAAACAATTCTCCCGGATAACACAATTTCCAACAAAATTTGTTTTTCATGTTTTATATTTTTCGGGACGCTAGATGACAACATTGAAATTAGAAAATAAAGTAAAGATATTTTGTCAAAAAATTATAAAAAGGTATAGTTTGCAAAGAAATAAAAAAAATATATAGATTTCCAATGACATGTCATATTTGGCACACTGACGCAAATTTTCTCTAATAATCAGGCGTTGCTTACAATTTTATTTCATTTGTGACGCTCGAAGTCGTGACATATTTGTTTACGTGCCCAATATAAAAATCAAAATAACAAAGATAACCATAGGATATGGACGAACGGTTCGGTTTGAGTTAATCGGTTAGTTAATTCGAATTCGGTTATTTCATATTTTGAAAACTCGTAATCAAATAGTTATTAAATTTTATTCGGTTCGATTCCATTCGATTATAGTTTATCTATTTAAAATTATAACTAAATAAAAATTCAATTATAATATTAAAAAAGTTTCCAATAGTTTATAATAGAACAATATTGAAACAAAATGTAGTCTAAAAACCATCATTATGATCTTAACATATAAAATAAAAAATATATAAATTCATATCATAATTTATTTTGATATAAAACAACAAAATAAAAAGATTTCACAAGTAAACATTCTTCTCTTCAAATATTAATATCACAAACTTTAAAAATAAAATAATAATGAAATAAATAAAAAATAATAAAATGATGATTAAATTAGGGATATATTTCATATATATATATATATATATATATATATATATATATAT